GTGGAGAAATCTGAAGAGTGGGGTTCCGGCAGACTGTCCCCGGATTTGACAGCTTACGGTGTGCTCGAAGCAACCGATGCTGCCTTGTTTATCGAGTACGACGGTTATTATCGGCACATGGAGCCACTGGGCCTGACCCGGGACATGCGCAAGACCACTGCCCTATTACAGCTTGTGCCTGCAGGATCGCTGGTAGTCCGCATCGCGCACAAAGAGCGGCAGTGGAAGGATAAGTCAATGCAGGTATTGGTGGATTGCTGGTTTACTGACCATGAGCCTTCTCTCCTCAAGGCCCTACATCAGGTCGTGGCTTCTCTTTTGGAGCAGTCCCGTGGCAGGCTGCATCCCACACTAGCTTCACGCCTGGAACCCCTTGCCGCAGTGGAAAGAATCGACACGGATGCAGGCATCTGCGCAAAAGAGGCAGAGCTGGTTGGCATGCCAGACAGGAGACGAGCGAATTTGGAAGACTTTCTTTGTAACGGCGCACACCTGACTGCCTCGCAGGTTGCCAAGGTGATCGCAACGTCTCCGCAAGTGCTTGGCTACAGCATTGAGGCAAATATGAAGCCAACAGTGGAATGGATCAAAGGGTTGGGCCTGAGCCAGTCGCAGGTTGCCAAGGTGATCTTGACATGTCCTTCAGTGCTTGGCTTGAGCATTGAGGCAAATCTGAAGCCAACAGTCAACTGGATCAAAGGGTTGGGCCTGAGCCAGTCCCAGGTTGCCAAGGTGATCGCGACATTTTCTGCGGTGCTTGGTTACAGCATTGAGGCAAATTTGAAGCCAACAGTGGAATGGATCAAAGGGTTGGGCCTGAGCCGGTCGCAAGTTGCGAAAGTGATCGCGACATGTCCTGCAGTGCTTGGCTTGAGCATTGAGGCAAACCTGAAGCCGACGGTGGAATGGGTCAAAGGGTTGGGCCTGAGCCAGTCGCAGGTTGCTAAGGTGATCTTGCGGCTTCCGCAAGTGCTTGGCTTGAGCGTTGAGGCAAACCTGAAACCAACAGTCGAATGGGTCAAAGGGTTGGGCCTGAGCCAGCCGCAGGTTGCCAAGGTGATCTTGCGGCTTCCGCCAGTTCTTGGCTTGAGCCTTGAGGCAAAGCTGAAGCCAACAGTCGAATGGGTCAAAGGGTTGGGCCTGAGCCAGTCGCAGGTTGCCAAGGTGATCTTGCGGCTTCCGCCAGTTCTTGGCTTGAGCCTTGAGGCAAAGCTGAAGCCAACAGTCGAATGGATAAAAGGGATGGGCCTGAGCCAGTCGCAGGTTACCAAGGTTGTCGCGACCCATCCCTCAGTGCTTGGGTTGAGCATCGAGGCAAACCTGAAGCCGACGGTCGAATGGATCCAAGGGTTGGGCCTGAGCCAGTCGCAGATTGCCAAGGTTGTCGCGACCTATCCCTCAGTGCTTGGGTTGAGCATCGAGGCAAACCTGAAGCCGACGGTGGAATGGGTCAAAGGGTTGGGCCTCAGCCAGTCGCAGGTTGCGAAGGTGATCGCGAGGTTTCCTGCAGTGCTTGGCTTGAGCATTGAGGCAAATCTGAAGCCGACGTTCGAATGGGTCAAAGGGTTGGGCCTGAGCCAGTCGCAGGTTGCTAAGGTGATCTTGCAGCGTCCGCAAGTGCTTGGCTACAGCATTGAGGCAAATCTGAAGCCAACAGTAGAATGGATGAAGGGGTTGGGGATGAGCCAGTGTCAAGTTGGCAAGCTGATTGCTGAATTTCCTCCGGTGTTTGGCCTTCGTATCGACACGAATCTGTCAGCGAAGCACCGTCTTCTACAGGATTTTTTCCCAGGAGCGCAGGCAGCACAGTTGCTGTCCGAATCACCTCGCCTTTGGAGCTATAGGTATGCTCGACTTGAGCATCGCCTGTCAGTGTTGAAATCTCACAACGATCTCTCCAAGCTTGCGGGCGCTATGACACTTCCCCTGGATGCATTCAGTCGCAGATACCCTGGGACACAATGCGAGACGCGCATGTCGACAGACGGATGAAGAGGTGCCGATACCAGGCAGCACCTATGGGCACTGTCTGGGGTCGAAGTACAGATCTTGGCATAGAAAGCGGGGATCAGGCTGACCCCTCATTGTTAGAGGACCTCTACATTCATTGTACCTTGGGGATTGAGGGCTTTGAGAACTTGAAACGCCAGGGCTTCTTCGGGTTCAACAATTAAGCCGTCTTGTTTACCCAAAACAGAAACTTTTTTCTCTCAAGCCCCCAACTCCCCGAAGGGCCACCTCTTCACGAACCCCTAGACGGTGACACTAAACTCAGACAGACCACTGCAGAGCAAGGCTGCCGAAGTGTTCTGTTTTGTTCAGCAGCTGCAGACGCTGAAGTATCCCCACTCACCCTTTGACTGTCTGAACCAAACGCGCCTTGAGTCTTTACACTTGTTTGTCTATGTCTCAACGACCAACGCGGCTTAAGTCCTTACACTCGTTTTTCAATGTCTCAACGACGGAGTAGTACCACTCGACATCTATTCCCATCGCTTTGTTTTTGTGGAAGCCTTGCCCTTCTGTCGTTCACTTACCCCAAAGCCCCAAACCAGACTCTAAACCCCAAACCCCCAAGCCTAAACCCTAAACCCTAAACCCTAAACCTTAAGCCCTAAACGCCCCAGACCGCCGCTCCGCCGCAGGCCGGGGCAAACCCGAACCAGCTCACGGCCAAGGCGGGGAGCTTCCGGGTGTTTACGTAGTTTCTTGGGGGTTTAGGGTTTTAGGGGTTTTGGGAGTTTGGACTCGGACAGAAAGCCGCGGGGAAGCCACGAAATTCTGAGCTCAAAGTCTGGGGCTCTAAAGCCCAATACATTCCTCCTGATGGAACCAACGGCAGACCCCGGAGCCCGAAGCGCTTCATAGTATTTCCCTCAGCTCACTGGGATGCAAACCCTCCTCGGCATATTCTTAATCCCTAGCGTTGAAGCGGCCATCCTGAAGTAGGCGTCGGAAATACTGGGAGAATTGGAATCAGCGTTATACTTTCGAGTCTTGCCGCATTTTGTCTATACTGTAGGTAGAGAGAAAGAGAGAGATCTCTAATCCATTCAAGCCCTTGACAGCTTTCAACGCTTCACCGAACGGTGAAACAAGACTTCGCACACCCCAAACCGCTTAGAACATCAGCACAGCCTCAAGCCGAAGCAGCTCACAAGCTACGAATTTTGCAAACCAAGCGCCACGTCGAAACCCGAGGGTTTCTCAGGGCGCCTCACCCTTGCACCTGGCGGCGCAGCTGGGCAAGCCGGAGCTGGTGTGTCTCCTGCTGGAGCTCGAGGCGAGAAGAATCCGGGGATATCGGGGGCTTTTCAATCGGGCTTTTGAGTTTCGGGTCTGGGATTGTTTTAGAGTCTGATGTTTTAGAGCCTGATTAGGTTTATTATTGGGGGTGTTAGTAGTTGTGAGGTTGCTGTATTTTCTGCTTGGAGGCTTCATCAGTCTTGACATCGGCCGCAATTTCTGGCACTCAGCCGAAGCTACAGGCCTCAAAGCCTGACGACGTGAACTTCCAAACCCCAAATCCGAGACGCATCAACTCTTCCAAAGCTGGCAGCAGCCTGCTCTCAATGCATGAAATAACCTCACAGCTTTGCACGGCTTTGGGGCTTGCCTCTGGCTTGCAACAATGTCTGCGTTTCCAGCACTCTGAAGGGTCAGGGATTGAGCCAAGGGAACGAAATTCCGCCGTGCCGGTCCAGGATTTAAGAGGTCCAAACTGGGCAGCAGGATCACTCTGCTGCAGAACTCTTGTGGTCTCTCCGTGTCTCAACTTTTGCGCTACACCGTGCATCCCGAAACTCAAGCGCCAACTCCTGAAACCTAATTTTCAAGCCCCAGCGCGGAAGATCCAGCATTATTCTTTAGGGCTCCTGTTTACAACTTTTGTACGGAGTATAAGTACCCCGAAACCCTATTCTGATTCTTAAGGCTTATAGAGTCTATAGAGCCTCATAGTAAGCCTTATAGAACCCCTTGTGGATTCCTTGAAGGAACCCGTTTTATAGCTTTTGTTGGGTTTCGGGAACGTCGAGTCCTACACGAGGCAGATCCGAACCTCGCATCGACTCAGGCGCGGTTTGGGCGCTTGGGGGCTTTGAGCCTTCTGCGGACTTAGGGCTTTAGGCTTCGGGGTTTGGGGTTTGGGGTTTACGGGTTGAGGGTTTAGGGGTTTAGGGGCTTGGGGTTTAGGGTTTAGGGCTTTAGGCTTCGGGGAGTTGGGGTTTATGGTTTGAGGGCTCAGGGCTTCGGGTAGAGCTTCGGGTCTCGGGTTTCGGGTTAATGCTGGACCCGGGGCTTGGGGCTTGATTCCCAGACTTCCCCATGCCCGTTACTTAAGGAATATACCTAAGACTATAAGGGTGTTTTTTGATTCTTTGATTTAGTTTATATTTCTTGATGAAGGGGTATTGGGATCTCTGGGTGGTGTGCGGAGTGCCATGTTCAAGCTATGGTTCCCTAAACCCTGGGGGTGCGCGGTTCCGCCAGGTCCGGCTCTCAACTCTTAGAGCTCCGATCTCGAGGCCCCCCAAAGCCCAACAGCCTGAGCTGGAGCTTCAGGGTTTAGGGTTTAGAGTTTAGGGTGTAGGGTTTAGGGTTTAGGGTTCAGGGCTTAGGGTTCAGGGAAGTCAGTAAGCAGAGTCACAAGTACCTTTATTCGGGTTCGAAGGTAGGTACATCTAAAGTGCTCGGAAACATGAGTCCCTGATCCTCCAAGTGCACCTGCCCAAAAGCCGGTCCCTCAATCCAATCGAGTCTAAGACCCGAATCCAATGGCAAAACCCACGTCAAACGTCATCAGCCTTACGCCACACCGTACTCCTTACATCCCCAAATGGGTAAGTTTCTAAATTAGGGTTCTTTTAGGGTCCTTTTTGTAAGGGCGCCGTATTAAGAATTCGGGACCCAAAAAGGGACCCTATTTTAGAGAACTACCCAAATCTACCCAAGATTTGAACCTGCAGGTCCCAAGCACAAACAGTCCAGCGCCCCCCCAGGGCCAGACCGCGCTGTCCCTGGCGTCGCACAAGAAGGTCATAAGCATGCTCCAGGAGGCGCCGAAGCTCCAGCATTTGGGGTCTCAAGCCGGAAGGGGTCTAGGCTTCAGGGCTTGGGTTTTGTGTGGTTTAGGGGCTGAGGGTTGGATGTGAAGTGTTTCGGTCTCAGGGCGTTCAGGCTTAAGGCTTTCAAGGCCTCGCAGCTCGAACGTTAAGCGTTTCTTCTTGGGGATCCGGCTTTGGAGTTCTTTGGTGGTTGGTTTTGCTTCCGGTGGGCTTTGAAGATCAAAGGTCCCGCGCCCAAGAGCTTTAAGATGCTTAAGGCTTTGGAGTCTTCGGTTCGGATCTGCAGGAGTTGGGATGTTGCTGTCGAGAATTGCAGCCCGTGGAAGCCCAAACCTGCGATAGTGACATAGGGCTTCATTCGCAAAAATAGTGACATAGGGCTTCATTCGCAAAATAACGCAAACCCGACCTCAAACTCAAAATGAAGACCTTGAAATCCTGGTCCGACAACTCAGAGTCGTAATCTTTCATCTGAAATCCAGAAACGCCAAAACGGTTTGGGTTTGGTGACCTCCTTCGGTGTGTACTTTTGAGGCCCCCGTCAGCCAAGCAGATGAGCTTCTGTAGCTTGCCGTTGTCTTGACTTCAGCCGGCCTCGGAGATGCAGCATCCATCCTGGAGACGGTGGCTCCGTCGTGGTGCTTTGGTACATCGCCCTTGTCCGAATCTTCCTCGCTTCGCTGTTGGAGCTGCTTTGACGGGATCGACTGCACCGGCTTGGTGGCTGAAGGGCCGGCCTCGGACCGTCTTTCAGAGTAAGGCGGAGGTAGAGCTCCTCTCGCAGCTGGCCGTGCTGCTCATGCCGGATGAGCCCATTGCCGAGGCCTTCCGTGATTTTCCGGTTCAGAGGTGCGAAGAGTGGGGTTCCAGCAGATTGTGCCCGGATTTGACAGCTTACGGTGTGCTGAAAAGACCAGGTGCTGCTCTGTTCATCGAGTACGATGGCTACTATCGTCACATGCAGCCACCGGGCCTAAACAGGGACGTGCGCAAGACAAGTGCACTGCTGAAGTTCGCCCCTGTGGGATCTATCGTACTGCGCATCGCACACAAGGAGCGACAGTGGAAGGACAACTCCGTGCAAGTATTGGTGGACTGTTGGCAGTCCGAGCACCTGCCCTCGCTTCACAAAACTGTGAGGCAAGTTGTGGCTTCTCTGCTGCAGTCTTGTCGTGGGGAGCTGGTGCCCGGGCTCGTTTCACAGCTTGAGGCATGTCACCCACCGCAAATCGACAGGCACGCGCAAGCCTTTGCAGAGGACGCCGAGCTGGTGGGCAGTGCGCTTAGCAGCAATATGCGAGCAGTTGAAGAGTTTCTCCAGAAGGAGATGCAGCTAACACCAGTCCAAGTTGCCAGGTCGATTGCTAGGTTTCCTTCAATGCTTGGCTTGAACATTGAGGCAAATCTGAAGCCAACAGTCGAATGGATCAAAGGGTTGGGCCTGAGCCAGTCGCAGGTTGCGAAGGTGATCGCGACGTTTCCCCCAGTGCTTGGTTTGAGCATTGAGGCAAACCTGAAGCCCACAGTCGAATGGGTCAAAAGGTTGGGCCTGAGCCAGTCGCAGGCTGCCAAGGTGATCGTGACCTTTCCCCCAGTGCTTGGCTTGAGCATTGAGGCAAACCTGAAGCCGACGGTGGAATGGGTCAAAGGGTTGGGCCTGAGCCAGTCGCAGGTTGCGAAGGTGATCGCGACATCTCCTGCAATGCTTGGCTACAGCACTGAGGCAAACCTGAAGCCAACAGTCGAATGGGTCAAGGGGTTGGGCCTGAGCCAGTCGCAGGTTGCCAAAGTGATCGTGACCTTTCCCGAAGTGCTTGGCTTGAGCATTGAGGCANNCAAACCTGAAGCCAACAGTCGAATGGGTCAAAGGGTTGGGCCTGAGCCAGTCGCAGGTTGCGAAGATGATCGCGACACATCCTGCAGTGCTTAGCTACAGCGTTGAGGCAAACCTGAAGCCAACAGTCGAATGGATCAAAGGGTTGGGCCTGAGCCAGTCGCAGGTTGCCAATGTGATCGCAACATCTCCTGGAGTGCTTGGCTTGAGCATTGAGGCAAACCTGAAGCCAACGGTCGAATGGGTCAAAGGGTTAGGCCTGAGCCAGTCGCAGGTTGCCAAGGTGATCGCCACATCTCCTGGTGTGCTTGGCTTGAGCATTGAGGCAAACCTGAAGCCAACAGTCGAATGGATCAAGGGGCTGGGCCTGAGCCAGTCTCAGGTTGCGAAGGTGATCGCGACACGTTCTGCAGTGCTTGGCTACAGTATTGAGGCAAACTTGAAGCCAACAGTCGAATGGATAAAAGGGTTGGGCCTTAGCGAGTCACAAGTTGCCAATATGATCGCGAGGTTTCCTGCAGTGCTTGGCTACAGCATCGAGGAGAATCTGAAGCCAACGGTCGAATGGATCAAAGGGTTGGGCCTGAGCCAGTCACAGGTTGCCAAAGTAATCTCGAGCTCTCCCCAGATGCTTGGCCTGAGCCTCGAGGCAAATCTGAAGCCAACAGTCGAATGGATCAAAGGGTTGGGCCTGAGCCAGTCGCAGGTTGCTAATGTCATCGCCGCTTTTCCACAAGTGCTTGGTTTGAACATTGAGACAAACTTAAGCATAAAGTATGCATTAATGCAGAACTTCTTCGCGGGCGCAGCGGCAGCAGAGCTTCTGGCGAGAGCGCCGTGTCTCTGGGGCTATCGGCACGCTCGGCTTGAGTATCGTCTGCACGTGCTACAGTCTCAAGGTCAACTTTCCAAGCTTGCCGGCGCCATGGCTTTGGGGTTGGATGCCTTCAACCGCAGATTCTCAAGTGCACGCCTGCCGAGAAAGCCGAAAAACCCGTTTGGCTTCGACAGGGGTCTTACGCACTAGGAGTTTTAGGGCTGCAGAGCCGCCTGAAGTTTCTTCACCGGTTTTGAGTCGAGATGGAAGAGGTTTCGGGTTTTGGAGTTCATGTCCGGTCCGAGTGCTGCAGGCCCAGGGCTCAGAGCCGCTGCTTTGGAAGCTATCGGGCCGAAAAACCCCCAGACCCACGACCATCTCGCAGAGTAGTGTATGCAAGCTGCTAGCCCAGGCACCGGAAAATACCCTCAGAGGTCGCGGTAGGGCTAGGGCCTGAGTGATAGGAAGGGGTCCGAAGGTATGTATCATGGCAATTATATGCTGGTCCCCAAGCCATATTATCAGCAGCAGTTCTTGGGGCTCCTTGCTTCGAGGCCGAAGTGAAGGCTGCTACTAAGGATTTGGAAACCCAGAAGACTTCCGGAACCTCAGGTACCCTGAACATTCATTCCGTGCGATGTTGCGTCCTAGAGTCTTAGAGATGCCGAAGCGCAAATCTCAAGCTCTAAGCCCCCAAGTTCGACGACTTATTTAGCCCCAGAGGCGATAGAGCCTAAGCACTGCTCAACCCGAACCTCGCAACTTTAAACCCCCCGCTCCAAGCCTCGCAGTCCTAGCCTTCACACCCGAATGCTGAAATTGCAGAAGTTTTTCCATGCATCTTGGAGGCACTACAAGACCTAAAACCCTGAATCCTAAACCCTTCTGGAACCCTCACCCTGAGCCCCAAACCCCCGTAAAACCCCAAAACTCTCGGAGGCGGGGGCCAAGATCGAGGTCGCCCAGCCCCAAGCCGAGCCGAGCCCGGGTTCGGCGGCGTCGCCGAAGCGGCGCGGCGGCTTTTTTTTTTGTGTGGGCGTGAGATACTTCTGAGGGTTTCCCAAAAAGGGATCTTTCAGGGTTCTGAAAGGGAATTACTTGTGGCGCGGGAGGGGTCAGCAGGGGCCTTAATATTTGACTAGTTGGATTAAAAATAGGCTTTTTTTCATGGGTTCTCATCGGGTGTGTATGGAGGCCTTCATGCTTAGAATGGGGTTCTAGTAGTCTGTCTCTTCCTGCAGCAACCATTACCAGATCCGGAAGCTAGAACAGAGAATCTCGATGTGTGCATTATGTCGTGCTCTTCTGCAGAATTTCTGGTTCCCCCTAAATCTCTGTGGGAGCCAGCATCATGTCACTTTGAATCCGGCCGTTCACCGGACTCCCAAGCCCCGGGCGCTGCACGCCGAGCCACACGGCAAGCCCCGAATCGCAAGGCTTAAAACCTGAACCCTAAAGCCTCAATGCCACACTCCGACTGCGTAGCCCCTGTCTGGCTTGTAGATCAAGCCCTTGGGCCCTTGGGCTTAAAGAGAAGGCCTGAAAGGATTCTCGGAAGAAAGGTCTGTGACGGCCCGTAGCTGCCAACATATACAAGCAGCACTCGAAGAAGCACCTCTGAGCCCTGACAGTCCCAAGCCGTAAGCCAATAAATTGCTACACAATCTCAGGGATCTTCCACATGGGAAGTCATTACCGCCGCTTCTTCACAGAATGCCTGCAACAATATTACACGCCGGACAGCGTAGTCCTGTCATACCCAAAGTCACGCAAGCCGTGACTTCACAAGATCTCCAACACGGCTCTGGAGTCTGTAGCCGTACATCCCCCAACTGTCGCACCCAAAACCCCAGAGCCCGAATCCACAAGCGGGCAGAAGCCGTCCCTCCCTCAAACCCCAACTCCCAAAGCCTGAACCGGCACGAAGGAAGCGGCGAAAACCCAAGAACTCCGAACGTCTAGCAACTTTCGAGCCCCAGACCAGACGCCCCAAGCGTTGAATCCTCGACCCTAGACCTGAAGCATTTCAATCCCTACACTGGTGAAGACCGCCCTTCAAACTGTTGAACCCTAGTGCTTGGTAAGTGGACCAAAAGTAGTCTAGGGTTTAGGAGTTTAGGGCTTTGGGTTTATAAGGTGGCTATAAGTTTGGACCCTAGCCCGACCAAGCAAAAAAGCCAAAAGCACCCTAAACCCTCAACCCTAAACCCTAAACCCTAGACCCTAAACCCTAAGCCAAAAGCCCTTTGGGCCCCAGGAAGCCGGCGGCGAAAGGCAAAGCCAAGGCAAAACCCTTCGCCACGACCTTTGCCTCGGCGCAGGCAGCGCCAAGTTTCGGAATCTAGGGAGGGTTTAAGCGGTTAAGCTCTTGGTTATGGGCTACAGCTTTTGCGGTTTCTGGGTTTCAGTGCTAGGTTTCGGAATCTAGGGAGGGTTTCAGGATCAGTTCGCGGGATCGTAAAGTTTGAAGTTACGCGGTTAAGGCTTGGTTATGGGTACTGCTGTTGTGCTTTCTCATATATAAGGTAGAGCAACACGATGCCACCTATAGCTACGCATTAATTGTGGGTTGTAGATTGCAGTAGATTTTCCGATCAGCTCCACCCAATTGGATGCTGCTGGGCTCCGTGCTTTCTTCGTTTTGAGGCCGCGGGCACGTGGATTTGCAGGATTGCTTGAATTTGGAGCAACAAAGCCACCCGACAGTCCTTGCACCAATGAGGAGTTTAGGGTTCAGGGTTGAAGGTTCGGAGCTTAGAGCCTTAGAAGGCTTTATCAGCTTCAACCCTTCCCGGAGCCCGGACGTCTGCAAGGCATCCAAGAGGCCAAACTCCCAGCATCCCCGGATCCGACATCCCAAAGCTTGCAGAAACCTCTCGACTCTAGCACAGATGCCGAGGCCGAAGGGCTGGGCCCCCCTAAGCTTCTGCTTCCTCAGCCCGTCACCTTGATCACAAGCAGGGTTATAAGTACCTTAAGCCGGGCTTTAAGTAGAGGTTAACAAAAGCTACCTTGATTATACTGTAGTCCTTCTTACAAAGTTCCTCTGATCCTCTAAGTCACCCCTAGTGCCATATAGAACCCTTCTAGAAACCTTACCAACCCCTATCCCTACAAAAAACCAAAAAGCCCTAAACTCCAAACAGGCCAGCCTCAGCAACCAAATCGGCATGTTCTCGGACTACGCCTCCCTGGAGTAACGGAGCCCAAGGGCAAAAAAGGGTCCGTGGCGATAAGATAGGGGTCGGAATAACCATTAGCATCAGAGTGAATCTACTGCACAGCTTTGTTCTAAGCATTAAGGCCGTGATGTTAGCAACGGTCCCCTTCGAGGCTCAGTAATGTTTAGTTTAAAAACAAATATCACTTCGGCCTCGGGCCCCTTCCAGTTGCATGTAGGTTGGATTTCCAACAGGTTAGACATGGTTTTGTCACGACTAGACTCCGCCAAAGCCTGGCGTTGTACAAAGTTCTTACACCCTCAGGGGAAAGCCCAAAGCGGCACCCAGCATCTGCTCCTAAAGGGACGGTTGCCAACGACACTTCTCTTCGTGGAATTCTGCGAGAGAAATGAGCTTTCCTCAGCAGAAGACCTCCTCTTCGGGTTCAGGCTTGAGGCTCTAGGACAGTTCTAAGGGCTTAGGGCCTTGTTGCGTTTAGGGCCTTTAGGGTGTAGGGGGCTTTTGGGAAGTTCTATACTCCTAAGGGGTCTTAAGTTTGACGGGTTTGGGGAACTGGAAGTTTGTGTGGAGGCCTCGTAGGCATCATCTGCTTCGGAGAGCCCCAAACTCACATCTCGAAGTTCAACATCCACAACCCTGAATTCCCAAAAGCCTACAGCCTCAGGTGGCCCTTTAAACTTTCAGTTTCGGCCCCGAAGCGATATCGCAACTTCCTGAACCTGAACTCCATGGGGCCTTAGGGCCTTCGTCCCCTTTTTGAACCTTTCAACTTGCGATGCCCCCAGGCTCAAGATGCCAGGGATGCCCTGGACTTGAGGCCTTGTTTCTCTTTAGAGACGGAGTTCACAGCTTCCGCCGTAGGTGCAGCAAGCCCCCACCCCAAAACCTCGAAACCTCACACTCCGAAGCCTCAAACCCTATGCCCTTATAAGCCCTAAAAACCCCCAAACAGCCCTCTCTTCAAGAGAGAAAAGCTTCCTCCTACAGCTTATGCGAGCATGGACACATGGGAATGGAGGCCACCTGGAGGCCGTGAACGCGGGTGCCTGCCTTTTGAAGCTTCGAGAGGGCTTCAGGGCTTCGAGTCTGTAGCGTTTTGATCTGCGGACGTAGTAAGTCGGGTTGTAAGTCAGGTAACTATAGTTAAATCTACTTACAACCGTAATTAAGGTACTTATATCCTGACTTACTAAGTCCCCTGATCCTCCAAGTGGAGCTTGTAGCGTTTTAGGCTAAGGGGTCCGGTGGTTGGACTGCTCAGCAATGGGCCGTTGGGGGCTTTTTGCAACTCCTGAGATTAACTGCAGGTGTTTAGGGCTGTTGAGTGCTGGACTCTCGGGGCATCCTTCGGCCTCTGGCCTTATTCAGGACGCGAACCCTAAACCCTAAACCCTAAACCCAAAACCCAAAACCCTAACCCCTAAACCCTAAACCCTATACCCTATACCCTAAACCCTAACCCTTAAACCCTTAAACCCTTAAACCCTTAAACCCTTAACCCTAAACCTTAAAAGCCCCCACACCCTGAAACTGGAGCCCCAAGCCCTGAGACCCGAACACCCTACGCCATGAAACCTTAAGGCCCGAT